TCGCACATCAAATTTAAACGAGGAGCTTGGGCAGGTCTGCTGTCTTGTTCCAAATTATTTCGTTTGTCCAATCTCAAAATGCATTTTTGAAATCTTTTAGTACGATCAAAAAAAAAGCTGGTGAGGACGAGAATAATTGTAAAGTGTCACACAAAAATTTTTGCAAACAGAATTTAAAATTGAAAGGCTGGAATGAATGAATGTTCGTAAGACCATGAAATGAGGATATGAAATAGATAGTGAAACGCATATGTTTATTATAAAAAGTTAAGAAGATGTAAGGAGGACATGTAGGGAAGCTAAATGTGAACCTGGCTGTCTGTGTTTCATCCCTAAGCTACAAACACAGACAGTATGCGGTGTGGATTAGGGTGGGAATCATCAGTGCAGCCCCCAATCCACCATTTGGAAATTTTGATAACATGAATGCATAGTGAGAGAAGAGCACAAGAGAGAAGGAAGATAGGTAAAATTCTCGTAGATTTCTTTGATTTGCCCGGAAAAGAAGCAAATCCACGCTGATCTGCTCCAGCAAATCCAGTAGGTGACCCGTGTTCTCTTCAAAGTGTTTCCTGCAGATGATAGTTGAAGAAGAAAATATTTTGAGTCATTTTGAGTCATTTCACGGAGTTTCTTTCGTTCAGCCTTGTTCAGTAGACTATCTTGTAATCCCATCTCCTCGCATTTGTCAAAAATGCAAACGAAAATCAATTTTTGCAAACGGCTATTCTCAGAAAACGAGAGCTTTTTGTTAAAAAGTTTTCACTATGAAAAAAAAATCACCGTACGGGTTTAGCAGCCTGGATATCCCTTGTTAGTGATGTTTCTGGATACAGCGATGTCAACCCCCTCTCATTTTTATGCTATGCCTGGCACTCACCGCCCTGTTCGATGTATGTGCGATATGAACGAATAGTCGCGGTAATATTAATCATTCATGGCAGTTTAATCCCTTTATCCTGTTCACGTGCATTAGCAGATTTGGCGTGGGATTTTTAAGTCGAATTTTCCTGCTCTATTCCGTTAAATTTATATTGCCAGAACCAGTCAGTAGTGTATCTTTCCGCTACTTTTTTGAACCCCTAACAAAGCCAGGGCTAAATTTCAATAAGGAGGCTGTACTGATGATTCCCACTTCTACCCGCATGCACTGTTCGGTCTTTGTATACAGCTAGGAGCGGTCTGTGTATACAGCTAGGGGGAAACACAGACTGCGTCATAAAATGTCTTCAGACACATGACATTCAAGTGAAATTCTTCTGTTCTTC